AGATCTCATTAAACATAAGGACAATATTCTTAAAGTATCTGTAGTCAAGATTTATTGTGAAGCATGATAACATTAAAGCATTGAGATTATTATGAAGATATATTGATGATCACATCTCATAGATCATGGATAAGTAGTTATCAAGTCTTGACATAGGTATGAATATTAGGAGTAATATTTATACTGGATTGACCCACTATGAGAATATTATATAGAATGTTACGCAAAGTGTAATAAGTTATTCTCATGGTGATAAGTGGTGTATACCATCCTTCGACCTGAAATCACTATGGACCCTAGATGTAAAGTTAAGTGCTTTATTGCTGATCAAACGTCATCCGTAACTGGATGACCATAAAGACATTTGATGGGTACTTCACAAAACATGCTGAGGGACATGAGTGACCTAGATGGAATTTTCCCATCCTGCATAACAAGATAAATGTCTAAGGGCCCAATATTGAACTGGACAAGGGTGACATAGTCTATGCCTTGTGTTCAATATAGACATGAGAGAAAAAGGGTAAATGTACACAAACATTATCACATAAAAGGTTTTGTCAGATCACATGACATTTTCGTGACTTGGGTAGTGATGTGTTGCTAGATATTATTCACAGTTTATTATATTAAATGTATGATTTAATATAAATGCCAACATTACGAGAACCTACAGGGTCACACACATAAGAACAGATTGATGAGAGATAAAATAAATAAGGAACATCATAAGATACAGTGTACTTGAGAGAATTATGAAACACCGTAAGGTACAATGCACTTAAGTGAAATACAGAACATCATATAATATAATAATAGTTGTTATTATTATTATTATTATTATTATTATTATTATTATTATTATTATTATTATTATTGTTATTATTATTATTTTATAATAGTTATAAAATATAATAATAATAATAAAATTATATTTATTATAATAATAGTTATTGTAACAAAAGTTATTATAATAACAAAAATATTATTATTATTATTATTATATGGATCACTTAAGTTGGGCTTTTTAGCTTGTAGCCTATACAAGTGGTTATATAAATACAATCATTGTGCATAAGCTTTCTCACTTGATGAAAATAGGGTTTGTGAAACCCTAGCCATATTTCTCTCTCTCACTTAAAGCCTTCATTCGTAGCAGCTAGCACTGAGACTGAAGGTTGTCTGTTCGTGTGGACTGAGTAGAAGTGTTGTTCTTCATCAATGCTCGTGATCATAGCATCAAAGATCTAAATCTCCATAAGAGGTAATTATTTCTATCACTGATCATGCCCACTCGTAAGGATCACTAAAGGAAAATTTTAATTTCCGATGCGTTTTGGATCATAATTTTCCTTCAGTGGTATCAGAGCCACTTATGAAACCATGGATCTGATAGCTGTTTTATTTTCTGTACTTTATGTATTAATTTGATTAAAACACATAATTAATTAAATGATTAAGAAAATTAATTTTTGGCATCATGTTATATACGATATGGATGATTCAATGTTGACTATGCTTCGGAATCTGACTTCTGTATGGTGAAGCAGCGATACATCGATCATCCATAAGTTATTCAAAATTGATTGATTAAATTCATATAAGATATGGATAATTAGGATGCAAAGGAGATATATTTGATATACCTTTAATTTCATCGATTCAATTAGTGTGATGGTTGTGTTTCATATGAATGGTCAATGTTCATTCTGCTTTGGAATCTGACATTTGTATGGTGAAGCAATGACATTTGGATCATTTTAATTGAATAATCGATCATCATATTTTTGATAGTATGAATATGTTGCATTAGAGTTTATGACGATACAAGAGTTGTATTGTCAAGAGTTATAAAATTTGGGTTTGTAACGACACAAGAATTATGCATCAGATTTGTAAAATTTTATAATAATAATAATAATTATTATTATTATTGTTATTATTATAAATTTTATTTGTTTTATAATATAAAAATAATATTTATTATTACATTTAAAACAAACATGAAAAATTACAACATATGTTATCACGAAAGTTGCTATAAGAATCAATAATGCGACGATGATGTGCCGGTAATGAAAAATAAGCCAAACATTGTCTTATGTATTGTGGTGGAAAAACAGTCTGTTACATTAGACACATGGTTTTATCAAATTCCTTTAATTAGTATAATAATAATTGTTATTGTTATTTTATTTAAATAATTTGATATACTTTTATAATAAGGTAACAAATCAAAGATAACTCTACCTGGTCAATTGTTAAAGAATAATTTAATTTATTTAATTAACAGAATTTAAATTAATATTAATAATAACAATAATGTGTGTTTATTATTGTTGTGTTTTGGTAGAGTTAAGTGCTTTATTGTTGATCAAACGTCATCTTTAATTGGATGACCATAAAGACAGTTGATGGATACTTCACAAAGCATACTGAGGGACATGAGTGACCTAGATGGAATTTGCCCATCCTGCATAACAGGATAAATGTCTAAGGGCCCAATATTGAACTGGACAAGGGTGACATGGTCTATGCCTTGTGTTCAATATATACACGAGGGAAAAAGGGTAAATGTACACACAAACATTATCACGGAAAAGGTTTTGTCAGATCACATGACATTTTCGTGACTTGGGTAGTAGTGATGTGTTGCTAGATACCGCTCACTATTTATTATATTAAATGTATGATTTAATAAAAATTCCAATATTACGAGAACCTACAAGGTCACAGACATAAGTGTAATACCCCAAATTTGTCCTACCCTCTCACTTTTATCTGGCTTATGCATCTCGCATTTTTCTCATGTATATAACCCTCATTAGGCCAGCTAACACCTCATGCATCATTCATCAATAAATTTAGCATGGGATCAATGTTCATGAACAGGATTAGGGTTTTATCAACTGACTGAGGTGTATATGTTCAATAGAGCTTGATTCTTCTGGTTATTTTTCAAGGCATTGAAACTGTGGAATTAGGGTTTTGTGTATTCATGGTTATTACGGACTTCTGTCTTCATCAAATTTCCATCCTGAGGCAAGTATATTAAGGTTTCATTTGTGGCGCTTAATGACAGCATCAAGATTCCAATTGAACCTCTTTCCTTTGATGTTTCTAAAGCTTAGTTTTCATCTGAGGATTTCCTAGGGAAGAGAGTCATGTTGAAACTTCTTATGATTGATCAAGATTAATGTCAAGAGGCTTGTTATTAACTGGATATAATTCATTTATTCATCAAGCCAAGGTTTTTAGCATATTCTCTAATTAGTTGAGGCTCGAATTGTAAGGGATGGTGGCATCACATTCTATGATTCTATCTTTTACTAATTCAATCCAAGATTTTTGGGTTAGAAGGCAAGAATTACAGTTTGTGCGAAGAGTGGATTCAATTGCCTTTTGATACAATAAAAATCAAGGAGTTGTGGGTATAAAGTGTAAGTCGGCACGAATTTAAGCATTGAGTTAGGGATTACTTTAAAAAAGGGATGTGTTGAAAGAGACTCTATGAATTCAAGTTGTCAAAAAATGGATCGAAGTGGGAAGAATGTTTACATGGCTTTCATACAAGAGAAGAGATGGATTCATTTATGCATCACTTAATCAATTAAGTTTTATGTATGGTTCCAAGATATGTTTGACTTGGAACGACAAATAGAAACATGAAATTTGTTGTTAAGAATAATAAGGTTATTCACTTATTCATTGCTTGCGTTCATCAGAGTCATCAAGATTCAAAGATTCATGATCATTTTTACGATATCTAAACATTAAGAAAAATTCATCAGAGTTCTATCCAACTTCAGATATTCATGTTTGTTCAAAGTCATAACCGTGAAAATTTACAAGCCATATTGATGTTATACAAAAAAACAAGTTACAATACATAAAGAAAATTACAAGAGGTGATAATATTCTCTAAGTTACATAAGTATTTTCAATTTTCTACAAGAATATCTTCAGTAATCTCCACACCACATTGGTTCTCAAACCCCATAAACGAATATTTATTCATATCTTCATGTTGTTTCCTTCATTACCTAACCGCTGACCTTCAAGATTCCTTCGTATCGCTTCCATTTTCTTTCATCAAGGCCATGGCACTATGCTCCCACAACCTGCAAAACCAATCCAGAAAAAACGCCCTATTCAAGGAAAAAACCAGCAGGATTATCAAAACCAAATTAACAGAATTCTAACTCTATTTCTCTTTTCACCTCCAATCCTACCCACCTAGTTTCTAACAGAAAATCATTATCCAACAGCCCATAACAGAATTCCCTAACTGTTTCAAAAACAAACTAATAGAAATAACAGAATTTTTAACTGTCAAAAACCACAAAAACAAAATTCCTTAACCTCTTTTTCATTCAATCAACTTCCTAATAGCTCACTAATAAATCCCGGGCTAACATCCAAAACAGTCTGTAACAAATTAAATAACAGAATTAACAACTAACCTCTTTTTAACTCTCTTAACTCTCACCCTCTAACCAGATTCTAACCTCCTAACCGACATAACCCCTCTCACCCTTCTAATTGCTTTTCCTAATATCTCTAACAGTTCCCAGCTATCCAATAACAGCTTCTATCCTAACTGTCAATAGATTTCTAACATTCTAACATCTCCTAACCTAAACAGATCTCGACTAACTTCTAGCTTATTTTCAAGCTAACTATTTTTTTAACCTCCTAACTCTAATAAAATCCAAAATAGATTTCAACCAACCTATAACCAACTAACTTTGTAAATGAATCCCAAGCCCTCAACAATCTTCTAACAGCACATATCATAACAAAAAGGAGGGAGAGAAAATTCACAGAATGACAGAGAGGATTCAAAAACAGTTATTCAACAGAAAGATTCACAAAAAAGAGAACTCACCAAAATATCTGGAAAACTCTCTCATTCCCCATCACAAAACTTCTTCACTCTCCCTCTGAATTCCATCTTTATCTTCCTCAATCTCTCAATTCTCTACATCTATCAAGCATCTCTAACCTTCAAGCAAAGGACGAGAAGCTTCACTCTTCAGTTCCCTCTTCCATCTTGATTCTACAATAACCACAACAACATTGTCGCAGCATTTCTGCATCAAATCAGAGATCAATTCACGTTGTTGCATCTCAGAGAATCTTCTCATCATTCTCACGCCAATCATCTCATAAGACCTTCATCATCTTTTGCGAACTCCTTCCTGCATCAACAACATCACAACCGCAACTTGATAATAATGCTACAGAATAAATTCAACAACGCCAAATCCGCATTATTGTGCAGAATAAATGAAGAATACAATCGTAAATGAAGAAATGAATAGAAAAATCGTCGAAACGGTTGATTGAAGAACTTACAGGATTCTCAACGGTGTTGAAGAAGCATCAGACTTCTCTTCGAGGCGGAGATGAACATAAAAGTGTGGTGGTGTTATGATGATGATTGATCAGAGTCGGAGAAGACGAAAGAAGGTTGAGGAGAAGGTGATGACTGAATCAAAATCGCACCGAGAACGAGGAAGATAGAACTCGATGGAGGTGAGAAGAGAGCGAGTTTGAGACGGTGGCATTGAGCTATGATCAGAACTGAATCGGCAGCGTTGGCTTCAATCATAGAAGAAGTTCTTTCACACAGCCACACTAGTTCTCAAACCTAATCCCTCTTTCAATTTTTTTATTATTATTATTTTTTTTTAGTTTAATAAAGGGAATGATGCTTAAGGTTTTTGCTAGTATATAATTGGATCTAGGCCGAAGATAACATGGCTGAGCCCATGGTTTTTAAGATCCGGTTGGATACCTTTGGTAGCAAAAAGGCCTCTGGTGGATTTGTTAGTATGGGCTTGGTGCAGTATTTTTGATCGCTATTCAACACCCCTGTATCCAAAGCACCCCCCTGACTTTTCTATATCTCATTAAGATTTTAGTTTCAAGTTTAATTTTTTTTCTTAATTGATAATAAAAAAATGATACAAAAAATTAGAGTGTTTTAGATTATTTTAGGATTTTTTTTCTTTAGGATTTCAATTAGGATTTTCTATTTTTTTATGTTTGGTAATCATTTTGTCGCCATGTTTTGCTAAGAGTAGTGTGATAGAATGTTGGTGTAATTTTCACAATATGGAATGCTTGGAGATTAATTCGTTTGATCACTTGTGTGAAACAACTTTGGTAGAGTTTTATTATTGCTTGTGTGGTTTTGAAGAGGCAATGAACCTTCTCCATTCGGTATCATCGCAACCTCATTTTATTCCTCATTTTTTCACTTTATTGCTTTCTAGAATCTGTGAGAAGTAGGAAATAAAGAGCGTGCGCTCGAAGTCGCTGTTTAAAGACCTGTAACAGGCATTCCGCACTTCATTTTCTATATGTGTTGTGCTTGTGTTTGTTTCTTCTTGTTGATCGACGAGTCACTTAATTTAGAAATTGAGATCACGACTTTGCTCTCAGTGCATGCTCCCTATAGGATTTCATTTCTTTCCTTTATTTCTTGTTGATCGATGAGTCACTCAATTTAGAAATTGAGATCACGACTTCTCTCTCATTACATGTCCCCTATAGGATAGTTTTATTAGACTTTCTTTGGAATGCTAACCTAGATAGGATCTCTCTAGGTGTGCTCTCTTGAGTTTATTAGCTTGCTTGCTCTATCCTTGTACATACCATGTTCCCTTAGGGTGCACTTGCTCCATTCGGATGCAGCTAGACCTTAGGTTGAAAATCATGCATGCTAACATTAGGTAGAAATTTCCCATTTCATCCTTGACGTGGGGTTGCCATTGTATGATAAAATTATGTTAGAAATAGGCTAGTCTCCCTTAGACTCTTTTCTTCCCCTTTTTGTATCCTTGCATCTAAAACTAAAACTTCTTTTATTAGTAAATCAAAAACATGCTAATCATACCCAAACCCTTTTTCAAGGTAACAAAAATACAAACCAATTCAAACCTTTTTGTGCGCTCGAGCACCTTTTCTCTAAAACCCTTTTCAGGTAAGGACGTGATTAGTTTACTTTTGTGCCAACGCATAAGCCTCCAAAGGTCGAGCTGTGGCAGAAGGCGGAATTAACATTATCCATAAAAAACACAAACAAATAAAACATGTGAGCCGAACTACGGTAGCTCTGATTCCTCAAAAAGGATACGTAGGCATTGGGGTAGGGCCCAAGCCAGTATAATTTTATTTTCCCTACATTCTTTTCTCCTTTCTTTTGCATGCATTCTCCCTTTAGCAATAGTAAATAGTAAGCATAGATTAAACACACCCATAAGATAGACAACAAGAGTGGATACCATAAAGTACTACAGGCGTGTGGGATGCTAATACCTTCCCCTAGCGTAACAGACTCCCTTACCCGATCTCTCGGTCACAAGACCGTGACTTCTCCCTTCTCAGGTTTTCTCGATGTTTACGTTTCCCTTCATGTGGGATAAAAGATGTTCGATGGATACTTCATTATTTGATGATTTTCAGCCGGTTTTTTCAGTTGGTGACTTCACTGGGGATAGGACGACCAAATGCTGGTCTATCCCGGAGTCGCTCCTAGCTCTTGTTTCCTTTCTTTGGGTGTTTATTTTTATGCTTTCTATTTATTCATCTATTTTGTATATACTTGAGTATATATATACATTGCATTTTACCGTTTTCCATATATTACTGATGTACTGGATCTGCTTCTTATTGGGTGGGTGTTACTATGAGGTAAAAGGCCTAATACCAAGGCCAGAGTGCACTAGGAAACTAGGAATATATTGGAATATGAACGGCTAGTTGACGTAGGTTTTACTATTTCCGCCATGTCGTCCATGCTCAGATGAGACACAAATGAGGGGCTGTTGTTGTACCCCAAATTTTGCCCTAAGATATCGTCTCCTACCTGCATTATTACATTACATTTGTTTTGATCCATCGATTTTAAAATTCATGACTTTTTCAGGCCAAGAGCTATTTATGCTGAACATTAAATCATTTAATCGATTCGTGCTAAAACGATGTTCATTAATTATTTATTATCTAAAATTTAAATAATTGAAATTCATTTTCGATTATTATGTAGTTTAAAGATGTATAGATAATAAAATGAACATCAGAGAAGAGGCGCATTAATTGTGCGTGCAGTATTTATTTATTACTTATTACCTTAAATTTAAGTAACGGGAATTTATTCTTAGTTATTACATAATTTAAAGGTTTATGAATAACATAATAAGCATTCGGAAAAGTTCATTGGTCAATAACGATTGTTTAATCATTCGTCGTTCTAAGTTAAATAATTGAAACCCTGTTTTAATTATTATAATTTAGTTATGAATGATGAATTAAATAATTGAAGATATTAGTTGATCAACGATAATTATTTATTTATCTGTTTATTATTTTGAATGTAGGTAATTGAAACTTGTTTTCAATTATTATTCGTTTGGAGAAATTGTAAACGATAAATAAATAAAGAAGAAGAAGAATTTAATTGGCAAATAGTTTTCTTTTATTCATTTTCTTATTGTACAAGTTATTATGTAAACATTGTATCTATTACAATAAATTACAATAATAAATTGACAAAAACTAAAATGAAATAAAAAAACTAATCTATCCTAATTCTAAAACTTCCGATCCAATGCGTTTTGTCCGCTCACTTAATGTTACCTGCACAATTAAAAAGAAAGAAATTAGAATTCGAATAAATGAATAAAAAGCGAAATTATTAAAAGTTCATCATTAAATGCAATGGCCGGAATCAGTTATTCTTTTTTGCAAATCACGGGATTGCTCCCGGTTCACAAAAAAGAAAGGAATTTTAAAACATGTGCACAAGTTTATGTTTTCCAAAAAAACTGCATGTTTAAATTAATTACATTTGTTTAAAATCCCAAATGCAATTTCAAAGAAGCATACAACATAAGCATACAAAAACCATGCAGTAACTACATATGCAAGCATGCTTACGTGAACCATTGCCTACACAGCAGAAAACAAAACAACTTTTGTATTAAAGGGAAAACATGCAGTTTGACCATATTTGCAAGCAATATAAAAGTTCCATTTTCATCATTTTCTGGCCATTGCAATTTCAGAAAAATGTACAGCTTATCACTTTTTTATCAAAGCCATACTGAGAAAAAAAGAGAGGGAGAAGTGTGGGATTTGCAGGCTTAGCATAGGCAGAAAGAGGTTATACAAGACAAACAAAAATATAGCCAGTAAAAATAATAACACAAAAGAAGAATAGAAACAAATTGGAGGGACAGTAGTGCAGAATGCTCAGGAAAATCCCAAAGCATTTTTGAATTCCCAGCCTGTAGCGAAAAAAGAAGAGGGAAGTTGTTATAACACATGACAAAGAGAGAATATAACAGAACATATATCCAAGCCTCCAAAAAACACTAAAAAGATAGTTATCAAAGAAAAACATCAAAGTCTCAAAAACCTGCATAATCATATACTGTCAAAAACCATTTCCAAACCTTATGGCCAAGCTTTGCAAAAACCGATTGAGCCATTAAAGCCAACATCATCATCCTGTCATCAAGAAAAACACCAAAATAATCTCACAGAAACACAAGTTACACAACCATCAATATGGCCTAACAAACTTCTGCCCCAATTTCCATCAATCTGTCCAAACCACACAAAACCCCTACATTCATCACCATGTCCAACTGTTACTCAAACCTGAGCTTTATCCATCCAAAAACCTGAAAATTCCTAAGGCAACCGACTTGGCCTCAGTGTCAACATCATTGGCCTTTTCAAAGCATATTCCTCAAGCCCACTTCATTCAAAAAATCATTATTCAGACCAACATACCAAGTGCAGTAATCCATTCAAAGAGAGAAAAACAAAATCATCATACAGTAGCTCGTTCCAAGAAGAAGAAGAAAACAGAAGTGCAGTATCAGTTTCAACAAAACCAAGTGCAACATCACGTTCAAAGAAGAAGAAGAGAAACAGTAACTCATTCAAACAAGAAGAGAAGCAACATCATGTTCAAGCAAGAAGAAGAAAAACAAGTACAGTAGGCAAACGAAGAGGAAGAAGTGCAGTTCAGTTTCAACAAGAACAAGCATCATACAGTGGCAGCAACCAAGAAGAGGAAAATCATAAATACCGTTCACCGTTGTGCACGCTTGCCCTCTCCTCGCCGCCCGGCCTCCGTCACCCCTAGCTCTTCCTCCGCCTCCACCTAGGTAACGCTCCTCTCTCTTTTTATTTCCTTTGAGCATACTCAATCAAACATCAACAATCAAGTATAAGAATTAATAATAAAGAGCAACATAATAGAAATTGTAGAATCAAATCAACATGCAAAACCGAATCGGGTGTTAACAATCAAACGCGTGCTTACCGTCTCCGCCTAGCCGTCTCATTTCTCGTTCAGTGGAGGGAAGAAGGGCCGGAGTGGGTGGCCGTAGCAAGGAGACAGCAGAGATGCAGAGAAGAGATGTGAAGGAGAGGCGAAGAAGATGAAGATCGTGAAGAGAGGCGCCGTTTCTGCCTTATGACAACCCTAAATCCCAATTTGATAAAACAAGATTAACCCTAATGTTGTGTTAACTTATGGGCCTCACTCCTTATTTCCTAGCTTAAGCCCACGAACTCCCTTTTGCACCCCCC